TATTATTATATTGGTTTCTGATTCAAATCCACATTTATTTAGTATAATTTTTTTAACAAAAACAATGGAATATGTCATTAACTATTTTTTGGGTGGAAATAATGGTGGTATATTTAATTGGTATACTCTTTTACAAAGATTTAAATAGTTTTCTTTTTGTAAACAAATGGGCTTGCAGTATTATCGTTTTTAGCACCTCCGCATTTTATATATTTGTTGCTTTAAAAAAATCTAAAATCTCAATATTCCATAATATGGGTATCTTGATAAATGAGGTCTAAATTATAAGAAAATCTACGAAAACTTGAAGATATAAAGAAAAAGGTAAAAAAATGGTATAATACAATTTGATAGACAATTAAATTGTGCATCCGATTCTCGTAAAATATACAGGGTGTTCCATTTAAATTAAACAAGTTATTGCCGTTTAAATCTAGTAATTATTTGAAATAAGTTTTTAGACACTCTGTATAAGGTAGTTTTAACACAGAAAATTAAAAATATTTAAAAAACGGTAAGGTTTAAGCAAAGTGTGATAAACCTTAATTAAATTTACCTTTATTTCAATCGTAGAATCTAAAAATAGAATCATTTTCACGGCGTTCATTTAAAAAAATACAACTATAATATTTTTTACTTATTTCAGAAACTAAAATCTTGTAAAAATATTTTTAAATTGTTGCTCTATTAGTCCTTCAACGAACCCAAAACTTACAATTTGTAAAAATCTAGTCGTTTAGCTACAATACTCCGTGTCGTATGTGGTGAACAACCCTGTATTATAATTTTTAAACTCATGCGATGATCAAACAAAAATAAATTAGAAGCGATGCATATTGAATATCATTTTTTTTAATTTCTTAGATATTGATAAATTAATATTACCTATTATCTTAAACAAAATAAAACTTCGTTAATATAATGTCATCACATTTATTTTTAATATATAGTTTTTTTATAAAAATAATATAAAATTAAATCTGATTAATAAATTAATATATCGTAAATCAAAATCCTAAAATACACTTTTATTAATTTTATGTATAGTTAATGTATTATCTATTTCATTAAATTAATTTAAAAATAATGAAATAAAATCTATCTATATATAATATACAGTGTTCCTGAAAATGTGCTATATTTTAAATTTACTAAGTTAAGCTGTTTAGTATACTAAAGTTTTCTTTTTGTATTATCCTTATAGTTGTTTTGAAATATGGTACAAATAAACTAAATGACAGGCTACGGCAATAACGACCTTGTTGTTGACAATAGTTGGTCCAGTTTTGTAAACAGCTTTTAAATATCCCCTTTTAAAATAAGTCGAGACTAGATAAATCTGGGGCATTTTAGTATTCTATTAATTGGTGAATGCACACTGCAGTCACCAACTATTAGAATCATATTAATTCTCTCTGATGTAGGATAAGTTTCCATTTTCGGCAAATTTTTGAGATTTTTGTTGTTTTAGCTGGCACAAAATAATAACTAGTTGTTAAAGTTGAACTAATGTGACGGCTATGTTGAAGTAACGTCAGACATCAAAGCCACTTAGATTTTGTCAAATAATAAAGATCTACTGGCGCTAAATCATAAAAATCAAAATATCTAGAAAAAAATTTGTTTGAGGGATATGTAACCTTAATAGTATTTTGAAGAGATATAAATTCCCATTTGAAATCGGAATAATATACTGAATATTCTATTTAAAATAATTAAGTATTTGCTGTGAAAGGCGACCAATGTTCAATATTAATTTTGTCTCACCCTGTGTAACTTTTTGAGTAAATTTTTGATTTGATTTAAAGTCCAATATAGTTGTTTTAACTACTACAGTTTAGGTGGCTTTTATTGAAATTTAAAAATTGTTCTTCATTTCTAGAAAATGTTAATTATGTCACCGTAATGAAACGCACCTTTATTTTTCTTCTAGAATCCGAAAATCAATGAATATATAGGGTGTCTGATTATAAAAAAACACTAACTTAATCTGTAACTTTTTTTAGAGACACCTTGGAAATCTCTCTATTTTCTTAAAAATTGCTCTAAATTAGCCTTAAAATGCATTTTATTTTAATAGGAACTGTCGTTCTCTTTGGAGCCTCCGAGTCGTATGAAAGGCGCCACCCTGTATATTTAAAGGAAAACATTAGATATGTTTTTCTTAATATATAATAATTACTTAAAGACAAACTTTTAAAAAGAATTTTACACAAGTTTACAAAAAACCTGACATCAAAATGTACAAAAAGTTACAATTTGAAATATCCTATAGACATAGTTTTGAAAAAAAAACTATCGGAGAATTTAATGACAAAAAGCTATCATTTGTCAAAGTCTGGCCAAGCATATTGAGCGTAACCCAGAGGCCTCTCCAACATTTTTTATATGATTATAAAAAACTCGAGGGAAAAGAAAAGAAAAACTCATTAAAGATGATTATTATAGAGTGAAAAAGTCCACGAAAAAAGAACTAGAAGAAAAGACGAAGATTAAGCTCGTTAATCATATTACTCAGAGATATTATACCTCAACTATAATTCCGGATATACAGGGCGCATGTAATTTCACAGAAGAATTTTTCTTAGTATACATGGTGGTCCGAACTGTATTCCGGAAACTTCGACAACATATTCTGCAGATAAAAATAAGTGAAAAATTTCGTATAAAAATTTATGTTCTAAAATGCTTAATTTCGGAGATACAGGGTGTAGAAGTTTCATTTTTATTTCGATTTTTTTCAAATAATTTCTGAAGTAACGTCAACGTTTGGATGAAAATTGGTGTCTGGGAGTTTTTTGACATGATAAATTTGATTTTGATGTCAATATGACTCCCATTTGTAGGTGGCGCTATTACATGTGTTTTAACTGTTTTGAAGAGTAATAACTTAACTACTGAATGAAAAATATACATCTCCGTGACTTTTTACGTATAAAAAATGTCTCTTGATAAAAATCGCAACAAGTAACCGTTTTCAAGATATTTAGAATGGAAATAGTCAATACATGTCATTATTGACAAAAAATAAACACGTTAGTTGACTGAAATAATAAATTTGGTATGTTTTTATTTTTTTAAATTAATTTTAAAATTTTCTGCAAAAAGATGATGATAAAACAGTTTCTGTTAAACTTTTAGCACAAAAGCAGTTCAAATTTATGATTTCAGTCTAATAACTATTGAGTCAACATGTTTAAATTATGTCAGTGATGACAGGTATTGATAATTTCGTTTCCAATTATCTCGAGAACCATTAGTCGTAGCGATTTTTACCAAGGGGCATTTTTACGTAATGTCAAAAATATATATTTTTTACTCGGTAGTTTTATACAGGTACGGACAAAAAGTTATTACTCTTCAAACCAGTTAAGAAATATGTAGGTGGCGACCTCTAGAAGTAGGAATCATATTGACATCAAAATCCAAACTTCTCATATTAAAAAACTCCCAGACACCAATTTTCATTCCAGATATTGACGTTACTACATAAATTATTTGGAAAAAATCGAAATAAAAATGAAACTTCTACACCCTGTATCTCCAAAACTAAGCATTTTAGGACATACATTTATACAAACTTTTTTACTTATTTTTATCTGCAGCATATGCTTCCGAAGTTTCCGGAATACGGTTCGGACCGCCCTGTATATTACCCTTAATAATAAAGCTACCCCGTCACGAAAAACGAAACGCAACATTAAAAAAATTAAATTAAAACGATATCTTTGTACGACATTATACATATAAAAGAATATAAGTTCAAACCACAGAACTTTTAAGTACTATAAAAAAAAACAGGGAGTATCCCAATTTCTTGTGTTTTTCAGGATTTCTAGTTTATGAGTTAAGATACAATGATTTGTAGTTTATTTTTATGAAACTAATGATATAATATAGATATGTAAGGTCGCTGTGATTAACCCCCCTCCCACTCATTCATTCTAACTAAGGATGCTACACTGCTACACGCAAATTTGTTGTATTATTATATTATACCAATAAACTAAATTGCCTAGAATCTATATACAGGGTAAGTCAAAACTAGAAAAAAAATCTTCATTTATTACCCAAGTGGTCTCACAATTCGACTTTGACCTACGGATTGTTTCGTAGAGGCCGTTTTTCAGTTGGAGGTCATATTGCATGTTATTACTGTTATCTTAAAATTTCTTCAGACAAATTTCAAATCAGACAAATTCAATTCAGACAAATTTTCAAATCTATACTCCCATCAAACATTTAGATTTCATATGATTTAAAGCAAATAAAATTTATAATTAATATATTGGGTTACCGTTATAATCAAACAACACTAATCATTATTGTTTTATTCTATAAAAAAATACCTTTACATAATGATAATTAACTAAAAACTATTTAAATTACTTATTACATTATAAACTAATTATTTAAAAAAAAATTGAAAGCCACCGATTTTTTTTTGTTTGCAACTAACTATACCGTGGGAAAATTTGCGGTGAACAGGCAGTTCTAAAAAGTTTTCTAAAAAAAGAAAGTTTTACAAAAAATTACAAAAAAGTTTTACAAAAAACATCATAGACGTGTTCCTGGGGTCTAAATATACAATTAAATACCCCTAAAAATATTTGTATTTACTTAAGACTCGCTTGTATAGTTACTCAGCATATATGTGGTATTTGTCATTTAAGTTCAAAAGTAAATTTTATATTTGCTGGTGAAAATATATATTGTTAATTTTTTTTAGATGTCTTTATCTGCGATGGATGTCTTCGATGGACATGATGTGTATAAAGTCGCCTCTTTTGCCTAGTTGGTCACATATTTTTTTCTGGTATCGATCACCAGGATCATTAGCCATATACAACTTGTATATTAATAATGCAATTACAGGGATCTATCTCAATATCCTCAAAGAAGTTTATTCTTACAAAGAAAATTCAAAATTTAAAAATCAACATTGACATGAACATTACAAGTTGGGTGACAAAGGATGAAAAAATAAACACAAAAAAAGTAGAAATACAAAATTAGTCACATATTATATAAAGTAATAACTAGATAAATAGAACAGTTCTAATAAATCTAGGATATCTTCATATATCTTTAAATTACAAAATATTATAACCTATAAATATTAGATACAAAATGTATAAACAGCATAAAATTTAAATTTAAATATTAATATTAGACATAAAAATTAAACTAAACTGAAAGCTAAACAAATAAATTAGAATAATTTATAGATAACTATTTTTACATAATTCTATAAATTCAACTAAAAGTCCTTCCAAAGCCTTTTTATATTCGTCACTTTCTAATCCTATCTCAACAAGGTCTCCCCTATCAAACAATTTTTTGGGCTTTTTTCCACCAAAAAAGATTTCTTCTCTAGATTTAGGATCTATTTTTAGGATTAAAGAATAAAAAAATGAATGAGTTATAACTTGAACTCTCATATATTCCATACTTTTAATGAAATCTTCATATGATAAAATAGTATCGATATTAATACCAAAGTTTCCTAAATTAGTAGACAGAATTTCATAATACTTTTCAGTTAGTTTAGTTAAGTATGTATCCCTAGTTTCTTTAGAGCAATTTGGTAAATAAAGAGCAGTAAATCGTGAACGGGTGGACAATACCTTAGTCCCTGAAAGTCGACAAGTACGATGTCCTCACAGATATTACCATCGTACTTTAATAACATGTTGCCCACATGCATATCTCCGTGGCATATTACATTACGAAATTGTTTAGATTCTTTAACTCTTTCGAACATTAATTTCCAGCCCTTTTTTATTTTCTCCTGTAATTCAATAAGAATGAACTCACCATATAAATTAGGGAACTTTTCTAACAAATACAATACATTATCAAGAGATCTATCGAAACTTTGGGCCATAAAATGATCTTTACTGTCTATTAAAACAACTTCATTAAGATATTCACTATAAAACTCCCTGAATTGAATTGAATTTATATCATTTCTATTCCAGAGTTCCTCTAGAATAATACAAGATGAGTGAAAATGTGCCAATTTTGAAATTGCCAAGCTTAAACTGTGATAATCCAAATTTGTGTTAGGAGTAACACCTATATATCCCGCTGTAGCTAAATTATCTAGAACAAGAAGGTCATTTTCCCTGGACAAATAACATTGTGGTGCGAAATTTTGAAGACTTCCAAGACCATATTCATTGAGCAACGGTAAGTATGTCATGTAGAAAAATTCCTCTTTTTTGGAACATCCGTTTTCTATAGCTTTTTGGAGATGCTCTTTTTCGGAGAAGAGAAATTTCACAAAGAAATTAAAATGTTCTATCTTGTTTCCAAATTCTAGATCAGTTTTTAAACTAAAATATTCACCCAAATGCCCATTCCTCTCTGTCAATTGGATTAGTTCATATGAAATCAATTTGTAACGGCTTGATTTCAGTTTATTTCTTATAATGACATAAACGTCTTCCTTGTGTATTCTTGGATATTGGAAGAAGAGTTTTAAGTTATCTAGAAGGTCTTTTAACCGAACTTCGCGTCCAGTATTTTGAAGTATATCGTTGCACACATCAAATTTAACTACAGGCAGAAGTATCTTAATCTGGTGTTCGTATGCAATTTTTGTAAATGAACCATTATTATTTATACAATTATAAAAATATTCTTTTATATCGTTAAAATTATTTTGTCGAAAATTTTCATCCGAATGGACAAAAATATAATACAGAGCGTCGTATACAACAGGAACTAATACATTTTTAAAATTACTTTTAACAAAACTATTCGGACCGTCCAAATTTGCAATCAAACTTTCGATTTGCTTGATTTCCTCTATAACTTCTCTCTTGATATCAGGAAATTTCTTAAACCAATGTTCTTTGTTGACTGAGTATATTTTAGAATTGCCTTTGGTCGTATTTTCTGTCTGAAGTACTGCCAATTCATGTAACTTCTTCTTAACACTATTTAAATCGTTTATTTCACATTCACCCATATTAACTCTCACTGATAAAATCAGTAGGTAAAGGTTTTATAAATTTCACTATCTCAGAAAATGTGTTTACAACAATTAAAATATTGCTGCTTACGCCGAGTATTCGTTAAGTATATCTTTTAAATACTAAAACTGGTTTAGCTGACAGTCCATACTTTACTTCATATTACAGATAGCGTAACAATATATAAATGCAAACTTAGATAATGCTACAATCGTGCTTCCATCTAAAATTAATCTCCAATTTGCGGTAAATTAATATGGCCATGGATTCTTATCAATTATATTGAGAGTTATTAAAGATAAAATTGATTTGATGTTTTTAATAATCATATATTATAATTCCCAGACTCTTGATTATATAAATTCTATACGAAAGTACAACTTTAACTCCTCTTCAAAAAATCTAATATAATTTTTTTAAAATTATCTGGGGAGATAATATTTGACTTTTTCAAAATTTACATAGGATTTCCTATGTCCCGCGTGTTCCGGTGTACCACATGGTACTTATTTCTCCAAAAAAATCCTTTATAGGTATTTCGCCACTGCACTGCAAGAAAATCTACAAAATAAAATATGTAGTTACTTTTTGTAAACACTTCTGCGTTAAACCTAAACGGACACTGCTTGTCAGAAGTTATGTTTACAGTTATACAAATTTGCCCAACAAAGAAATGCTTAACGTTTTGGAAAGTTTATCTTTCCGTCGTCGAAAGCAAAAAAAAACATTTTAAGAGAACGTCAACGGTTTCTTGTAGACGTATCTGTTTTAAAAAAGTAAAGTGTTCTCGAATAGTTCAATTTAAATATTTTAATGTTTTTTTTTTCTTTATTCTTTGTATTTTTTTTGCTTCCGACGACGGAAAGAGATAAACTTTCCGAAACGTTAAGTATTTTTTTTTCTTTGTTAGGCAAATTTGTATAACTGTAAACATAACTTCTGACAAGCAGTGTCCGTTTAGGTTTAACACAGAAGTGTTTACAAAAAATAACTATTTTATTTTGTAGATTTTCTTGCAGTGCAGTGGAGAAATACCCATAAAGGATTTTTTTTTGGAGAGATGAATCCGCCACATGATATATAAAAAATATATTTATGTTTAAACATGACAAAAATTATATAAATTAAGATAAACTAAGAAACTTGCTATTTACCTTTAAAAGTAAATCCACTATATTCACAATAATGAGCGCTTTCTGCCTTTGTCTATGCGAATATCTCAGATAAGCCAACTCCAAATGTTTGCAGTGAAAACTGTTGGTTAAACTCGGCCAGTAGATGCCCTTGTACATAAGACCTTTTTTGAATACCGTGGCAAAATCTATCAGGAAAAAAATCATTACTTATTAGAATTTTCACTAACTTTATACTTTACTTTTGTCAGTACTGTCCTCGAAATAATTCCTGTCTTGTTTTAGACAATCGCTGAGCAGTTCCAATCTGCTCTCCACAGTGCCGTTTGAAGGAAGAGAGTCGTCGGCTATCGGAATTCTGGTTTCATTATTTAGTCTGTTGTTTTGCTTTTCCTAACAATAAATAGATAAAATAAAGTTTATATATTACAGTGTATGTAAGAGGTTTAAGAAGTAATAATTGTGATCTCATAAATATTGGTTCGTTACTAGCAACCAAAAGATATTCATGGTAACTTAAGTCTGACAAATTTTCTATATTTATATCTAATCTGAGGAGGATCGGGATATCTCAGGAAACCAACTTAAAGCAGAATTCAGGAATCTGGAAGACTCCATCCGTAATCTGGAATAGGAATTCTTCAAAGACACTCGAAGAACCTTCTCAGAAGTTACGACCGAGAAAAATCAAAGATTTTCCTAGATTTAACTAAGAACAATCTTCGGATTGTCACGGTTTTTTTTTAACAGGACACTGCTTCTTAATGAACACCTCAGTAGATTGAAGCTAAGAAACAAAGGCGAATGCAGATTCTGTGGGGAAAATGGGGTAACACCAGAACAACCATTGGTCCCATAAACTTTGGTACGACTGATATCGGAGACAGAGAACTAACCTCTGTAAAACCGTCTAAGATACTGGTTTTTGTCAAAGCCTTGAGACTGTAGGACAAAATGGATCTGTAAGTTGTTTTCGAGTGTCTTAGCGACCTTTGTAAGGTCGCAATTAATTGGTGGCCAACAAATCACTAGAATGGTGAAGAAACTCACCATTACACACAGACCTGATTACACACAGACCTGATAAGCAAAAGGAAGACAGTCAAAGCTGTTGTGGATCTACTAACAGGGCCTTATAAGCAGAATAGGCATCTAAAGCTAATGGAATTGACGGACAAAGCCATGTGTAGATTCTGCCAATCTGAAGAAGAAACGACAGAACACATTTTATGTCGGCACGGCAGTCTGGCAAATGTGCGGTTCTCGGTAATAGGCAATGATGTGTCACTGCCAGGGAGCTGCATGAAAGGTTCAGCCTCCAAGTTGCTAGACTTTGTAAAAAGGATAGGACTGGAAAGTGTAACCTAAGGATCAGAAGAGGACAATAGATCTGAGAAAGTCGCAGTGGAACAGACCGATAGCCACCTCTAATCTAATCATTTTCCCATACATTTTACATTCTACATTCATATCTTTTTATTTCTAATTTATTTATTAATGACCTGAAAACAGTACAATAACTGGCACCGAGGCCTAAAATCTGAGTGAGAATCTGAGCCTAAGGAAAATAACAGGCATTAACTCGATATTTTGAAAATATGTTCTGGATAAAGAAAAACGAAAATAATTTATCCAAATTTTAAGTAAGATTAGAAACACTTTACCAACTCAATGAAAATGCATACAAGACGAGAACTGCAGAAGGTCGGAACGGCTAGCTTGACGTATTTTGTGCCTAGGAACCTTCGTTACAAAATCGTGGAAGTGTCGCTAATGTAACGCAATACATATGTATGGAATCGATATTCCGATCACTAAGTCTCAAGCAAGTAATGCAAATAAACACAGAAGGATTACTTCTAAATTTAAATTTGGTATATATACAGGGTGTTTCAAAAAACAAAGCAGAATGGGGCCTAAGCTAATATAAAAAATAAATCTTATTTTTTACGTGGGGAATCTCTCCATATATATTAATTTGGTAGAATATTAATTTTTATCATAAAAAAATGCAATTTCTTGTTTAAAAAAAAACATTGAATAGTAAAAAATAAGAAAAGGGTCAAATATTATTTTATACTAATGGTTTATCCACAAAATCGACAAAATTGTAAACCCTTTTTGCCAATTTTGTGAGTTTTCCTTTTCGCGTATTTATTTTGTATTAATTCTTGAGTATTTTATAATTGGTTTTATGCAAATGTATTAATTTAGAATAGCAGAATAAATTAAAAACATTATTATTATTACAAAATGAAATTATGTGTTACAAATAGTAAATCAATTATGATCTTCTTAGTCAGCTAATTATGATTAAATTCTTACGTTTTACATTTTTTACTAAATATCAAAAATAAATTGGATACACATATTTTTTGAAAATTGCTTTTTTAGTTGTTTCACTAACATAATATCTGCATTTTTGTTGATAATTAATTATTATGATTGTTGTTTGTTCCCAGTAGTTAGTACGCAGAAAAAAAATCGTGGGTGTTAGGGAAGGCTCGAAAGGAAACAATTATGTTTTTGCGACATTTCGCGACTTAATTGTCGCTTCTTCAGGCACTTCAGGTATATAGTACGACATACACCTAGCATCGGTGTGCATCGGGCAAAAAAAATAAGTTTCTGTTCGTTCCCCAAGTTTCTGTTCGTTCGTCTGTACGTGTCTTAGTGTTGGCGGTTGGAATCGCCATGAATAGGCATTTGGATTAATGTATGTTTCAGGTAAGTGGCTAGCTGATTTTGTTTTTATATTTTTAAAACATTGCTTCCCCTATAGTGCCTGAAGAAGCGACAATAAAGGGAAAACAACATAATAGAGATCGAACACTCCGAACTAATGCGTACCTACCCTAGCATCCTACAAGCAGAAGACTACGCTATCGAAAGATGATTATAACTTATCTTAGATAGAAACTATCGGAAACAAGAAATAGCCATCTTATTTGATATTCAAGCAGCGTTAAAAGCGATCAACTCAGTATCAATCCATTCGAAGTTGGTGAAAGAATGCCTAGAGAAGCTGAACAAATTAGGCAAAGTCCTCCTACCCTGGATGCCAGCTCACCTAGGGACAGAAGGCAATGACGACATACACCTAGATAGAAAAGGCGCGAACACTCCACTAACTGGACTATAACCGTTCTGCTGCCCAAGTGGAAACCAACCAAAAGCGGAACTCAAGAACTCAGAAAACTTCATCAGTAACCTGAAATGAGAATGCTGCAACGGTCTAAGACACTCGAAGAAGTTTCTCAGGACTTAGGACCGAGGAAAAGATTGATTTAAGTAAGAACAATCTTCGTATTGTGTCTTCAATGAACACATCAATAGATTTAAGCTAAAAACGGTGAATGCAGATACTGTGGGGAAAATGGTGAAACACCAGAACACCTGATCACTGTATGCGCCGAGACGACAACAATTCGTACCATAAATTTTAGTACGACTGATATCGAAGGTGGAGAACTATCCTCTGTAAAACAGTCTCAGATAATTCGTCTCCCGAAGTTTTGTCAAAGCCCTGGAACTGTATGATAAGTTATAGCTCAACAAAGGAGGACATAATAAATCTGTAAAGTCGCGGTAATTAACCCCCCTCCCTCTCATTCTACATTACAACATTTATTGACCCATCGTAATACAAAATCAGCAATTTATTAAGTCTACCCTACTTTATATTTTAATAAAAAAAATAAGCAAGTAGATTGGAGTTCTAGTCAGTAATATTATTACCCCATTATAGCCTCATTAATTTTTATACACTCCTTTCTTAGATTTTTAATTAATTATTAAATGCGCATAAATTTATACTTACGTTATTCATGGCGGTGGAATTAAAGTTTAAGCTGTTGATTCCGAAATTCTTAGGTGATGATGGTGGAGTGAGAGTGATGGAAACGTTTTGGACCTTGTGTTTATCGACTAAGGATATGGCCACGCTCGATAGCTTGTACTTTTTCCTTTCCTTGGACACCGTCCTCACTGCCTTCTCCCATAATATCTTGGTATTTTTTCTATTGCTGTAAAGAAATAAATAATGTAGTATAGTCTACGGCCTCAAATTTATAAATATAATTTGTAGTATTGCTCATTAATCTGGCAACATCATTAATATATCGGGCTGATAAGAAAATTAACTTATTAATTAAATTAAACCTAGTAGTTTGCCAAGCTTCGTTATAAGTGGTACCAAATGAGTCAGATTAGAACACACTGAATTTAGTGATAAAAATTCTAAAAATTGTCATAAGACCAAACCAAACCAAACCAAATTAACTAAGTTACTAATTAAATTAACGATAGTGGCTTACCAAGCTTCTTTATCAGTAGTACCAGATGGGCCAAAAAAGAAGGCACTGCATTTTTAGTGATTAAAATTCTAAAAATTCTCTAGATTTTATTATGTGTGTGACTTATTTATACCGGGTGGTGCATCGAAACACGGGACATAGGAAATCCCATGTAAATTTTGAAAAGGTCAAATATTATCTCCCGAGATAATTTTATGCAAAAGTTGTATTAGACTTTATTGAAGAGGCGTTAAAGTTGTATCTTTATCTAGAATTTCGTTTTATTTGGAATAATCATTTAAAAGTTATTTGCAAAAATCTACCTTCAAATTAGTAAAATTTGTAATACGGTCCAGCAAAAGCTACAAATAAAAATACCAGCAAAAATGTGATTGTGTCATTGTCAAATTCGATGTCACATTTTTTTGTTTACAAGAATAATTACAAAAGAGTAATTTTGTATAAAATAATTAAGATTTTAGCAACTTCTCAAAAAATTACGATGGTTAAACGGAATTTTGCTGGAATAGTATACAAGGCATACTGTATCAGATTTGTTCGCAAATCAGTCTCCGGGACCCCTATACCAAATAAGTCAATAGTTTAAAGAACAAACTAGACAGAGATTTGAAACTAAAGGTACGGTATTAATCCCATGGAAGTGTGAAGACAAAAAAAATTGAACAGGAAGAAAACAACAATGACTTGAATATTCTTCTTGTTGAAGAAAAGGAAAACATTGACTCCCGTGTATGAGGGTTACAATAGGAAAATTTAATAGGAAAAGACCACAGGATCTTTCGCCGAACGACTTCTTCCTGGGGAGATCACTCAAAAACCGTCTTTATGGGCATATTAAATACAGAAATTTAGATGAACTGAAAACGACATCTCTGTGGAATGCTAGAGATTCTCTCATTAACAGCTTGTTTAACCTTTGTATTGTAAGGCATGAATTTTACAATCATTTAGGGTATTGTTTAGCTATGAATGGGGGATTATGTAAATATTTTATTAATTTGTATATTTTAATAAAGTTCCTTGAGTTAAAAATATTTCTTTTATTAGTTAAATTATTGTGGATGTATGTGGATGAGAGCCTATGGCGCCATCGCCAGCCTGAATTTCTTCAAAAAGCTATATCTACCTTTGTGAAGACCATTTTTAATGTAAGTATTTAGTTAAATTTGGTTTAGTTTTGTTTGATTTGGAAATTGATCGATCAGGCCGGATTCTCACCAGATCGGACCGACCCCAATCGTCCAGATTTCGATCGCGCGACGAAGATCTTGCACCTAATCGCAAATGGGTACGTGTCCACTGACAATATTTCAGTCGTGACCGATTTTAAAGAAGTGTCTAGCCCTAGTAGCTAACTGCTAAAGCTTGACCAATCAGGCTGGTTAGCGTGGTTATTTGGAGGGTGTTAATTCATTTGTGTTTGTCAAAAACTCTAACGTGATTGGTCGGGCTTAATAGTTGCCTGCTAGGGCTAGACACAAGTCATTTTAATCGGGCGATATTAGTCGTACGCGACGCTGCTTGCAACGTCCTTGGTCGGTAGTTGGGTCTGACAACCTGTTGTGTTTGGTGCACTATTTATGTGTTCTTAATGTTATGAGAACTCTTTCTTCCACTGACACACATTTTCTGTAATTTGTATCTCGTTTGGAAATATACTGCCGCACCATGTTACATAATAGGTTAAAGCTGTCTTTCCACATGCGGTACATAGCTCTGAACTTGTCGTCGTGGTATGCCAATTCACGAGCGCAAATAAAAGCACCTCTGTTTTGATTTTGTGCTATGTACGGATGTACCCAAAACCGGCAACGACGGCGGCGTCCTCGTCTTACATACGCGAGTGCTACAACAACTTCGTCTTCACTTGACGACATCTTGGAGGATCTCCACTTTAAAATAAATCTGACCATAATCTTCCCGATGCAATCCGATGAACACATTCAATCGATTACGGTCGGAACGGCCACAATCGAATCGATCTGGATCAGGACGATTATGGTCGGTCCGATTTGATGAGAATCCGGCCTTCTAAAGCCAGATTTTTCGTTGTTTCTCTTCGATAGGCTAATGTTAAATGTTTTTCCAGGAGTGGAAAGTGTCATACCTTTGCAACCTGGTACCGTACAGTGTCGATAAATCATTTTGCATTCGAAAATTAGTAAAAAACCTCGCCGAAAATCGTAAATGTCAAAACAAAATAGTACCTCGTGACGTCACTATCAGAAGCGCGGTCAAAGCCGACGTTTTAGCGGGCTTCTCATCACTTTGAATTTTAACCATTTATTACGACGTTAATACACCAGATAATTTTAAAAATATTTTGCTTGGGATCTAAATGATCATTTTAAGACAATAAAAAAATACCCGCAAGAGGCCTATTTCACGACTAGTTTTGAGGCTCTTTTAAGAAAGGAAAGTAGGTCGAGACAAACCGAAATAGGTCAAGGCAATCAGAGAAAAGCCGAAACGCGACAAAGTTAGGCGACGAACACGATCCTGGCCTACTTCGTACTATTCTCCGAATAGTGTAGAGCGTGTATTAAATTTAATATTAGATAAAATTATTTTTACTTTATATTTGGTAGACAAATCCTTTTTGTATGCATTAGGTATACGCACGCCCCTGGACGACAAATTTCATCAAAACAACATTAAATACCTCTGATAGCATATTTTCTTCTGTTTACGCCACATTTCAAGTACACAAAAATATAAAAATAATCCTCCATGTTATTCAATAAGTTATTTCCAGTTTAAAATAGACGTCCCTAGTGAAAGGATAATATGTATTCCGCAGAGAGGTAAACAGAAAAAGAGCATTTCTTACATAGAATAGACGTAAACCCATTTCTGAAGACTTATTGTTATAACATTATTTCCCTCACATAACCTACTTTTACTCGGCAGGTAGAAAAAATTCGTTGTTTTTTCCTTTTCTTCATAGTAGAATGAAATGGGAGAAGGAAAATAAAACTGAAAGAGTATCCGGAGGGACTTATTTCCGGCGTTATTTAAAATTTAATATCGGAACGCTTAGAAAAGTTTCTGTATCTTTTCGAAGTACGTTGTTTATGCTAATTATTGTATTAAGATTCCCTATTTTAAATTCATTTCTTAGTTCATACTTATCTGCTATAGAGTGTGACTCGAAAAAAATCATCGCAGGATTCCTCATTCATATTATATTAACTACAAACTTTTTTGTAAATACATGCAAGCAATGCAATGGGGCCGATTTTCAAAGATATACGAGGATGATTCAAATATATTTATGCATTTAAATTGTAGTTTCTAAATGCAATGTTGTATATTTTAATATATTCTGTTTTTTTTTTCTCAGGTAAGATTTCGACAGTCGGTGACAGAAGAAAAGCAAATGAAGTCCATACCATTCTATTTATTTCAATAAAAAAAGTTTCTAATATTTTTTAAGTTAACCATGGACAATGGTTTATATATAAATCCGTCATGCGTCATCTCTTGTTGTTTTTAACCAGTTTTATTGGTTTATTTCAAAAATGACAGATATTATTTCAATATTATTGGTTTGACGGAACGATGAACGACAAACGGACGCTGATGCGTATAAACTTGACTTAAGATTATTGAGACTTGTCGAACTCTTGCCAAATTATAGGTTATACTTTGGCAAGCATTAAAAACACCCCCGGTGAATCTGTGAAGAAGCCCCCTAATGACACTGGGAACATTACAAATGTTCCAAGGGACAACCAAACCAAAGGAAACTACAAGAGGGGCGGCTAACACTTGCTTGGGATCATCCTCCACAAGGGGTACACAAGCTACCACCTTCTCCAGTAAGGGTCGGGAGCCTACCTCTAGACCCAATAATCGACACAAGCTACCGTTTCGTCTACCCGGCCTGGGTTAACGACCATAGGCGGTACCACGGGCTAGACGATCCTCTGTGAGTAGGTCGGAGATACCTCCGACTGCTTCACGAAGAACTTGCTCCAGAGGAAGCAACAGCGAAAACACTCCTCCGAAAAGGGGAGAGTAAAGAAACCAAGAAACAACCTGAACCATCTCCATCAAAGGGCAAGAGAGGGAGCGAGAACCTCTCACCTCTTCACCGGCAGGAAGAGAAAAAAGCCAGGATGGAAAACCGTCCAACACCGGGAAGCGAGCAGGGACGTATCACCAGCTTTGCCGCTATTGCTGGACAAGTGAAAATGGCGGTGCTGCCAAAGGATTTCCCAGAGGTTGCTCTGACCACCGACCAGCAAACGTCTCTAGAAGAGGCTATACTGGACGAAGTAGTGGCGATCGGATCGCAACACAACGATCTACAAAATGTGGGTCAGCTGCGTTTTGCGGGGATACACTTTTGAGTTTGCATGATCCTCGTAGATTGTGTATCTCAGGAATCGGCGAATTGGTTGATGGAAATCGCACCTAAGCTTAAAAATTGGCAGGGGCCGGAACTGGTCGCAGTGAAGGGAGGGGCCGCCTAAAGGGGCCGCCATCACGGTCTTTCTGCCGAAGAGCAAGGGGAAGGACACCACCTACCTGCTGAGCCTTATCCAGGGTCAGAACAATGTAAGGACATCGATTTGGCGAGTCATCAACTCGAGGGAGGAGGGTCATGGACAGATCCTCACAATAGGAATTGACCTCAAATCCAAGGAGGCAATAGAGAAAGGGGGACATATCTTCAATTGTAGATACGGGACAACACCAGTATC